TGTCAACTATACAACTATTCTGTTACGTGATTCTACTTTATTGCAACCAAACTATTTCTTATGTATTACATAGACGAAGTGTAGAATATACAGGGTGACTTTGAAGTTGAGTCATTAATTTTCAGATAATGATTGTAGAAGGAAGATAAACCAAAATATGTGTGTAAAAATAAAAAAAAAATTATAAAAAAAATTTTACCTTGTTTTATAAAGTATCCTCCCGACAAGTATTTCAGTGCGGACCTGTATTTGATCGTGAGGTCTTGGAGCACCGGCATGCCGTCACCTGATTCACGAGCCCGTTGTACTACATTAACAAAGGCACGAGGGGTTGGTTGCACTCGATTGGGAAACCGATCCGCATAAACATGTGCCATTTTTTATTTCGTTTGAGACACGCAACAGACACCACTATTCACTGACACTGACTGTATACAAATGAATAAAATAATTGTAAAAACATCGTTCCAAATTCTTTCGCTTTTTTGTTTCCGATGCGATGAACCGATACGGCGGATTATATCCGTTGTCGCCAAACACGAGCAGATAATATTATTATTGAGACAGGGCGGTACTCAAACTTCCAAAGGGCTATAACTTTGTTACTTTAATTTTACCAGAAAAATGGTAAAGGAAAAAACATTTCTTTTGATCAGATCTACTCACTGTTAAAATAAATGACTCAACTTCGAAGTCACCCTGTATAAGTAACATATTACATTCATCTTGTTTACTTACATATCGGCCATTGTGAATGTCATACACAGGTATATGATAAACTTCTACACTGTGATATAGGGCTATTGAATTACTTGCGCAGCAAATTTTATTGTGATTATCGTGCAAAGTAGTTACGCAATTTCTACGGGCTTCTTATTTCATGCATATTTTGATAATGATCAAAAGTATGTCTAGATTTTTAAGATGGAAAACTGAACTTATCTGAGTCAAATCTTCCACAAATCCTATATTTAGACACAATTACAATAATGTTTATCACTTTATATCTGTAATTTCGAACTGAAACATTATTATTTAATATTAACCCTCTATTGCATATGGTTCCCAAACGGGAACATTATATTTTTAGCTTGTCTAGTGTCGTCATCTAACGTTTAGATCCCCATTTAATGCGTAAGATCCAAACTTGAGGCATTGGGCACCGTTCCGTATAGTTTTTCAACCGATAGATGTTGCTAGGAGCACCTCATGGTTTGCATTTGATTTGACAGCGTCGCAAGCGGCCGTTCCAGATTGTTATCTCACTTTTATTACAAGAAATAGCTCTTTTGCTGCATTTAGGTGAGTGTTTTATTTTTTTTATTACTAATTATTATTGTTTGAATAATACTGTACAAAATGTAATTAATTTTGATGATATTTGTTGCCACGAGGTAACATAACCCTAATGTTCCCGCTCGGGAACATTATGCATCCAAGGTCAATAACGGAAATTGTTTGTCTTCCATTCTTTACTAAATAGCATTTTCTATTATAGATCCAAACGACAATGGATTTCCCTGAAATAAAACCAGGTGCATTGTATGGGCGTAAAAGGGTTGAAGTTCAGTTTATTCGCGGTATTCCATCTGACAGCGAGGATTCGGAACTATCACATGACGAGGATCAAGGTGAGATAAAAAATGCTTCTCGGGCAACATTAGTTTATATTCATTTTATTTACAGTGGAAATACCAATATCAACGAATGATTTGGGCACGGAAGACTTGCAAGATGCAGATTCAGACCCAGATGATATTCCCCTAGCACAACTATTTCGCCTTCCACCTAATACCAGGTTTTTCCTCTCAAAAACTGACGATAATATATCTTGGAAGCAGTCAACAACTATGAGAGATCCTCAAGAAAATACATTTCTTGGTCAAAGTGATCTTCCAGAAGACATCTTACAGATACATGGTGCATACAGTTTTTTCAAATTTTTCTTCACGGATGAATTTCTTGCACAAGTTGTAGAACAAACGTGCTTGTATAGTGCACAGAAAAGGCCTAACAAACCAATAACCACAGATATAAAAGAAATAGAGCAGTTCTTAGGAATAATCATATGGATGTCTCTAGTAAGACAACATTCCACTAGGAGACACTGGGCTGCTGGTACTAGGATACCTCAAATTGCAGATGTGATGCCTATCAATAGGTTTGAAGAGCTTAAACGCTTCTGTACACTTATGCTTCAATTCTACCAACAATTGTTTTAAGGAATTCCATTGTAATTGAAAGGTTTTGTCTCTTTTGGAAATATATGTATGTATCCTTAAACGCATGATGTTCCCAATTGGGAACACAAATTTTTTTTTATGTTCTGAATAAATTTTTTGAAAATAATGTTTGTGCCTTATTTCTATGACCATTCACATACATAAAACATGAAATAAAAAAATCTTAACAAAAAAAAACAAAATTCATGCAATAGAGGGTTAAATAGAGGAATAAATGTTTGCCCAATATGGCTGGTGGTTGTGTGTAATCATGGCATCGTCCATGTTGTCTTCAGTTTATTAGAATATTTTGGTGTTGCCTGCAGGTGTTATACAACAATTTGACAAATGTCTGAAATGAAATACCGACAGAGTCCAATGATTTACCAAGAATTTGTACCAGATCTATATCTTCTGTTTGAACAGTTGAAAAAACGTTTTGAACCAATATGCATGCGTTATTTGTATTTAATCATTGGTTATGGCATTTTAACAAAAATATGACTATGATATTCAGAAAATTTTGCCAGTTCTTTTTAAATTATTTCCAATAAGTTTTGCTTTTTTGTTACAGGTTTACTAACAGAAAATGGTGACGTAGTCCTCACAGCCTTCAAAGAGATTTTTGATGAAGTAGATGAAGAATGTCTGAAAAAGATGCCAAAAATAATCGAATGCAACGATATGGAGAACTTTAATGAATGTGATGCAGAATAGCATTTTTACTTGATTTCCTACTATATTTTGCAAATAAACGCTCATACTAGTTTCTCATCTGCATTCATCTCATAACATGCTTAAAAGTGACATACTCTTCAGTACATAGAATTAAAATTAGGTATGACCAGTGGCGGCTCGTGGCAAAATAAAACAGGTATTCTGCAAATCCGAACTTACCTATTTTTTATATGTCAGTTCGATCCTGCGCTCCTTCTTGGTAACAAATGTGTCGATCACCTTCCCGTTGAAATTTTCCATGGTCGAAATAAATTCCTTTTCAATGGACAGTATCGACAACGCTGTAAGGCGATCCTGGGTCATAGTATACTAAGTGACATATAAATCCGAACACCCAGTTTAAATGGTTTTATTTTAATAAAAGTTGGTGAATGTATTTATCTTACTGTAAATAACAAGTGAAAAAATTTTCAGCCTTATCAGTTGGACATTCCGGTTTTTATACTGCTTTTTTTTAATTCACTAACGCTCTAAAAATGAATATTTCAGCCGCAGTAAAGAATCAACGTTGGCGGATTTTGGTTCTTGACATCCTTTACGATCGGTTACGATGCCTAGAGTACGGAGACTTGTACGATTTCGTCAACTTAGTGAGTTTGATAGGGGCCGTATAGTGGGACTTCGGGAAGCTGGACTTTCTTTTCGGGCAATTGCAGTTAGAGTGCAAAGAAGTGTAGACACTGTGGTTAGGTGATGTCAGGCATGGCTTCGAGAAGGCCGTACGCAAAGAGCAAGGGGCACTGGACGCCGCCGTAGAACAACAGACCGTGAAGATCGCCGCCTAAGATTATTGGCCTTAAGGGACCGTTTCTCCACTACCAGGTCCATTGCAAATGAATGGTTTGCAGAACACGGAAGACCTATTGGCATGCGAAGTGTTTACCGACGAATGAGAAGTTTTGGCTTGTTTTGATACCGGCCACACTGGGTTCTCCCTTTAACTCGAGAACACCGACGTAATCGCCTTGAGTGGTGCAGACAACGGTCACTCTGGGATCAGGAATGGAACAGTATTGTCTTTAGTGACGAGTCTCGATTTTGTTTAGGCATGCACGATGGTCGTGCCAGGGTTAGAAGGCGACGTGGTGAAAGGAGGAATCCACAGTTTTTTGTTGAAAGACATGTTCATCACACTGTTGGAGTTATGGTTTGGAGTGCTATAGCTTATGGTTCTAGGTCACCTTTAATCTTCATCAGAGGTAACATGAACGCGCAGCGTTATATCCACGAAGTTCTAGAACCCCATCTTTTACCCTATCTTGACACCCTGGCAGGTCCAACTTTCCAACAAGATAATGCCCGACCACATGTTGCAAGAGTCACAATAGACTTCTTTCAACATAATGATGTCACATTGTTACCATGGCCACCAAGATATCCCGACTTATCCCCAATTGAGCACGTGTGGGATATGATGGGTAGGAGATTGCTCAATTTGCAACGTCCTCCTCAGACTGTAGAAGCACTTCGAGAGGAGTTGGTGGTTGCCTGGAATGAGATACCACAGGAGGACATTGACCACCTGATCAGAAGCATGCCTAGGCGCGTTGGAGAATGCGTAGCACATCAGGGTGCATCCACACATTATTAAAGGTCAAAGGGCTTTAAAGCAGTGCAATTATTTTGAAATTTTTATCATTTACTTATTATGCTTCATTAAGTACTTATACAAAATTTTATTAAAACAAAACGATTTAAACTGGGTGTTCGGATTTATATGTCACTTAGTATATGTCTTGTGAGAGTATCAGCGGCGCATTTTTCGAGATTCATATAATTGCAAAAACATTCTACTGGTTCGCCGTTAAATACGTATCTGAAAATTGTTACCAGTTGGGTTTTCCCCGAAATGTCCGTTGTTTCATCTGCTATTATCGCCAAATACGAGGCTCTGTTAATCTGTTTTATTATTTCTTCATTTCAAACTTCAAGAATACAATCCAGTAGATTTTAGGAGCTCTCGGTTTCGTCGCGGCCCGTAGCGCCAATTCAAATGCTCCGCAAAATTTTATACAAATGATTATTTTTGATAAAACGTACCTGTTTTTTGTAACGGTATCATTATGCTGTTGTACATTTCTCCAATATGCTGAATCTAAGTGAGATCTGATGTTAACAGTCCCCAATAAAGCCAATTCCATCGAATTATGAAAATATGTTTTAGAGTTTTCATGCTTCTTATTTTTTTTTACTCAGAAGCACTAAATCTGTAACACCTACCTCCGTCCAAGCTTTGTCACTGCCGAAAAGTATGCAAGGAAAGCAGAAAAGGGCATTCTTCCTGTTGCACCCACAAATCCAGTCATTTCTGGTGTAAATCTGCCTGCGGAAATACCGCGTATAGCCCTTGCCCCGACTAACGCCTTGTGTTTCTATAAATATGTCCGGCAGCGTTCGACCTAACACCTTCAGATCAATTTTTTCTTCAAATGTGTATTTCCAGAATCGTTTAAGTCTGTAAACCACATCCATTGTCTTGCACTACCCTTCTACACAGCCACAGTCAGTCAGTGAGTCACTAGTCACTCAACGTAAGACCCAAAATACCTAAATAAAAATTTTTTCGCATTCACATTTTAAGCCACGTCACGCGACCAGACCAATATGCCAATACCGCCTAGGACTGACCACCGACCGACTTATCAGATATCCTACTTCGCATTAGATCTGTACGGATCTGTATAACTTGCAGCACATGCGTATGCTTAAATCGCGCATTTTATTTTGTAGAGAGAGACAAAAGCAAGCGCGTGCGGCTTGTGTCGAAGTAGTGCACAGACCCTTTTCAAGTGGCCTATGAATAATGCTACACTGCGGTCGCGACGAAAAGGACAAGTACACAATTGGTCGATTATAATGCTCAGACTCGACGCCGTGTCTTGCGGGGGCAGCGTTGCCAGTATTATTTCTATTTGTGTGATAACATGGAAAATAAATAATGATCAAATTACTACTGCTTTTTTCTGTTCTGTAAAAGTTTTGGCAGTTCTGCAGCTCTGCACTTTTTGTCAATATTTTGTTTACCTGCGGTCAGTCAAAGTCTGAAATTATGTGATATTGTTTAGTAACGCAGGACACTTTTGTAACTCACTGTATCTTCCATGGAAGGTGATTGATACTACTTCTTTTACATCAAAAAAACTACATATCTTCAGATTCCTCAACGTATACATATCTTAATGTGTTAATGTGCTTGTTGCTATTTTACAAATCAATTTCTTCAAAATGAAGTAAGTAATCAATACAACCATTAGACACAATATTAGAAATTGATTAAATGAATGTGAGAAAAAATATGAGCAAAATGAAACAAAGATCAATGATTGATTCAGATCAATGGACGATTCATTTAGAAAGTGCGTACCTATAATAAGTCACAGTATTCACATTGAATATGCTGCTTACATAGATACGTTTTCGCTGTCAATTTTGCATGCCATTTCGATAGGAAAGACTGACATCATTTTATTTTGAAGTCAAATAGAGAAAGGAATATGTCTGACCATTAGAAAACTTTATTTGTATGTCGAAATGAGAAACAATTTCAGTTTCTTGTATGTATTTCAAATCATCCCTGATTCTTACTAAAATAGAATAAGATCACTCTGAGACTAAAAACTACGAAAGTGGCTTTAGATTGATTGCATTTTTCACTTCTGTCCCAGTTATTGAGCGCCGTGTCTCATTGAAAATAAGTTATTCACTACATAATTAAAGAGTAATTACAAAAAACAACACCTAAGTAAATAATAAACGCTTAATAGTAAATTGTATACCTAGGTTGAGAAGTAAGCACTTTTACAGACAAGTTTGGCTTAGAACATTACCTATAATAATTATGATCTTTGTGCATCTTCGAGGATCAATAAATAATATATCTTTTCAAATGGTATTAATCTGAGAGTGTCATCTTTTACAGTAGACACAATCCAGCTTTGTTAGAAATATACCACAAACCATTTCACAGGAAAACTATATTTCGTAGCGGCGACATTCCCGGAACATCACAGATCAAAATCACAATACAACCACAAACGCCACAAAAATTACTCAAGGTTGTTGATAGCGAGGAAGTTGAGTCAGTTTTCAGCTCAAAATCGTAAGTTGTTAATCTTATGAAATCTTCGTCATTTTATGTTATTACCGAGCGAAAAAGTGTACTGTATAATTTACTTGGCCTTTCTGATGCCCCACTTTTCAGCACACAGAGCCCTATGGCTGTAAAGTAACTTTAGCGCTCGGTATGTATAAAATTAATCTGTGTTAAAACTTTTAAGAATAGAAGTGTATCTGCCCCCCCCCCCAAATTTATAAAAAGGGAGATAGCAAATTTTCGGAGTGCGGGGGGGGGGGGGGGGTGCACCAGTTGGAATGAATGCCCTTATGGGCGCCTATGATCACATAGACAGTTTTTAGTGAAACAAAATTATATCGTGCATCGTTAAGCCGTCCGTTACGTTATTTTTGACAGAAATAGTAGACAACGCTTATCGGAGAAGGAGGAGCTTTTAAGGCCACTAAAGTGAATCATGATAATTTGACAGTCCAGGCTTCCGAAGTATGAGATCTATCGAAATAAGACAACACAAAGCGCCATCAATTACCAGAATCGATCACTGAGAGAGTGTAATCTCATACCTCGGGTAGAGGTGCTATGTTTTCGTTAGTTTTTCTAGAGACAATCCTGGACCGTGCTGATGGGTTGCCAAAAAGCACGAAACAGCTGTCCATGATTGGCTGTCTGTGGTCAGACAGACGAAACTAGCATGTTTACCTATAAATGGCTGTTTTACACCTTAAATAATAACTATTTTGTTTGTAGGGAGCATGAACCAAGATCCTGTGACACTCGTGAGATGAAGCCCTTTGTGAACGGTTTCAAAATTGCCTCACTAGTTGCAGTTTGGATAGTTTGCAGTTTTGCTTTGATGGCAAATAACGAAACCGTACAAGATATGCATCAAATCAGTATTCCAAGTGGCTCTGTCAAAAGTGAGTGAACATTTTCTGCAATAAATAAATTCATATTTTTTAACAACTCCCACGCTTGCTAACATGCACAGACAAATAGTTTGATTCGTCTTGATTTTCGAAGACCAATCCCAACTAACAATTATCACTCCTATTAGAGTTGCAAGAATGATTATACAGTATTCCTTAAATAGCATTGTATACTGTAAGAACATTGGCAAAACCCTCTTAGAACAGCTATACAAGCGGAATGGGCATACCTAATAGGACACCTCAGTCATTTAAGAGGTTAGATAAGGGCTGCAGGTAACAGTTATAAAACAAAACTGTAAGAATCTTACAGCCGCTATAGGACATTTGCGTCAGTGCAAGATTCAGTTTTTGTCAACTATACAACTATTCTGTTACGTGATTCTACTTTATTGCAACCAAACTATTTCTTATGTATTGTATAGACGAAGTGAAGAATATATAACTAACACATTACAGTCATCTTGTTTACTTACATATCGACCATTGTGAATTTCATACACAGGTATATGATAAACTTCTACACTGTGATATAGAGCTATTGAATTACTTGCGCAGCAAATTTTATTGTGATTATCGTGCAAATTAGTTACCCAATTTCTACGGGCTTCGTATTTGATTCATATTTTGACAATGATCAAAAGTATGTCTAGATTTTTAAGATGGAAAACTGAACTTATCTGCGTTAAATCTTCCACAAATCCTATATTTAGACAGAATTACACTAATGTTTATCACTTTATATCTGTAATTTCGAACTGAAACATAATTATTTAATATTAAATAGAGGGATAAATGTTTGCACAATATGGCGGGTGGTTGTATACAATCAAGGCATCGTCCATGTTGTTTTTATTTTATTAGAATATTTTGGTCTTGCCTGCAGGTGTTATACAACAATTTGACAATTGTCTGAAATGAAATACCGACAGAGTCGAATGATTTACCCAGAATTTGTACCAGCTCTATATCTTCTGTTTGAACAGTTGATAAAACCTTTTGAACCAATATGCATGCGTTGTTTGTCTTAAAACATTGATTATGGCATTTTAGCATTTTACAAAAATATAACAGCAGAAAGTTAGGTTATGGTGAAGTTGTTTACCAACATATGTAGCATATGTACAGCCTTTAACAGTTACTAAACAACAGTTGTATAAGTGCTTCCGTTGGGAGCAATTTGTTGGCTAAAGTAGAAAATTGCACAGCAAAACAATAAGGCTCGGGTCTGTTTTATAAACGTTACCATGGATGCCACAACACAACCATTTTGACTAACTTGCAAATATGCCGTATAAAATAGTTGTATAAACGTTTATGCAACAGCTAAAAATTTGTCCTATAAAGTGTTGTGTAACTATGCTATAAGAATATTTTAAACACTTCATTTTAGAGCAAATATGTTGCAGAAAGCAAATCTGCATTCCACACAACATTAAGCCAGCATTTTTGTGTTCAGGCAACAACAATAGAGAGCTTTTATGGCTGAACGGTTCTTTTACCAAAAGCTTATACCACTACATTGCTAGTTGGGATTTGTCTACCGCCGGTTTGTGTGAAATTTTTGTTTTTGATTTCATTCAAATTGGGGAACTGAGAAAATTCGCCCCATCCAATATTTTGCTTCATTAGTTTGTTTTAATCAAATTTAAACTGTCGCCTTGTAATTGCAAATTAACCATATTAAATTTTGTAAACAAATCTGTTAAATAGGCGATGTATGTTTTCCTCTTCATTAAATTTTCTTTTAAAATTTTTTCTTTAGTATCCAGAAATTCTAAAATAGTCTCAAAACGTGCAAAAAATCTTGTCAAATATAAGCCTTTCGGATTCGGTTTACTGCATCAATGACTAAATGAAGTGATTCATGCAATCTAACACTCAAATTTTTAGCAACTAAATGTTGTCGATGGATGACGCAATGTATTGCTAACACCCCTGACACATTTTGTTTTAAATAGCTTATAAATCCACGATAACGTCCAACCATGGCAGGTGCTCCATCTGTAGCTACTGATATCATATTTGATAAAGGAATTGCTTTTTCAATGAAGTAATAATCCTTCAAAACATGAAATATTGATTCACCTTTAGTGTCGGTTATCAAAGTTCTTGCTAAGAGCAGTTCTTCGTAGATTTATTGATTCATAATAAAACGAACATATGCCAATAATAATGCTGCAATATCAGGTAAAGTTGACTCGTCCAGTTGTTTAGAGAAATGGGTCGTTTGCAAATAATTATATAAGAAGCTTTCAATATCAGAACTCATTTCATCAATACGTCTTTCAACAGTATTGTTGCTTAAGGGAATTCTTTTAATGATATCAGATGCAGGTTTGTGTAAAACAGTTTTTAAAACCTCTTCAACGGCTGGCAAAATTAACTTCTCTCCGATAGTATGCGGTTTTCCGGATTTTGCTATAAGTAACGAGATATTGTAAGTCGCCCGCAAACCATCATCATTTCTTTGTGACGTCGAAGCGAACATTCTGTCCAGTGTAAGTCTATTCTGAAATTTGTCTTTGAGTGTTTGAAAGTATTTCAAATCTTTCTCTGTTTTATCAGGGTGGCATCTTCTCAGATGATCTTGCAGTTTAGATGGTTTCATAGCGTCATTGCCCAAAACTTTGTTGCATAAAAGGCACATAGGCGATTGTTTGTCCGGCAATGATGGAATGATGAAAAATTTCAAATAATCAACACTGTACTGTCTACATTTCTTTTTAGATATGGACATGGCATCAGTCATCTGTGGGCAAAATTAAATTATTTAAATAAGAAAACATTCCATAATTCGAACATCTTCTTGCAACAATTAGCTCGAATTACGGATATTGCACTGTAATTATATTACCGATTGCTAAAACTTTAAAAAAGAAACTATTGAGGAGTACTCGTGTAATTTTGCATGATTGAATATTTAACTACTAATAACTAAAGTCATGATTGGCGTAATTTATCTATCTTTGCTAACTACGAGTACAAAACTAAAATTTAATAAAAAATAATGTACTTACTTTTCTCCAGCACTCTCAAACAAAATAACATTGACTCACTATAATTTGTGTGATATACTATCTGTTTATATTTTTTAAAATATTTTCTTAGCACTGTCCTTTTCAAGATTCAGGAAACGAATAAACGTATTTGTCCCACATTCGTATTTATAGAGTGACGAATTGAACAAGTCAGTGCAAGGTAGCGAAGTTTTGAGACTGCGACTCTCAGGTTTTTACAAGTTCAAAATGTATTGCGCCCACAAAGCGAATACCAACATCCTACAACTTACACAATTTTATAAACATATATAATAAATTTTTTACTTCATAGGTACTCTTATAGATAATGTATATGTTTTGATATTATAAGGTAGTATGATGTAAGTAAATAGGTACTATCAGTGTATGTGTTGAGATCCACTATCGTGGACCCCCATATTCATTTCATGGACCTCCAAATTTTTTTTCGCTGACGTAGACCCCTTGCAGGTTGTCATAGACCCCTAGGGGTCGATATAGACCACTTTGGGAATCAATGCTCTAGTCTTTTACATACATTACCGGCTGCGCATTCGGTGTTGTATAGAATACCCAGGCAAAGTATAAAGCAAATAATATTTTACGTTTTATTCTTTACAGTACCTAGGTATTGTACAGAATACCGGATTATACATATTGCCGGTAACACATATATTTTTAATGAATATCTTCTTGCTACGGCTTGGAAATTTTTGGTAGATCTAGAAGGTTAAACTTAACGTTAAATTATTCGCGATTCCTAACAGACACGTAAGTTTTCTCAAAAACAAATGAATATCAAGTGGAAATAGCCACGAGCCTTTCCAAAGTTCAATGCATTTATAATGAATTGGTCTACTGGAGACAAAAAAAGGTAAATTCCACGTTCAACGTGCATCTCGACGTTACATGTAACATACACGTATGTACATCCATCAACATTTTTAAACAATTAATTCTAATAGTAGTATTTACCGTCGCTATAATTGATTTCGATAGACGAAATACAACAAATTTTACTTACCCGTCCAAGGATGACGGAACCTCGTGGGGTGTCAGCCTCTTTAGCGTCAAAGTAAATTCACGAACGAAGTTATGGACCGTACTGTCTCTGAGAGAATATGATTTTCTCAAAACGGAATTTGAAACATAAGTCTCAAGTATACTGAGAGCCCAAGCACATGCAGCTTCTTGATTAATTCTTTGTTAATTCAGAATGCGATAAGTGGCAAAAAATATGGAAAAATTCGTCTTCCAGGCATCTTGACCCATTTAGCTTTATGCTGTATGCTTGTTCTCGGCAAGGCGTTTCGCATTCTTCCCAAATTTTTGTGGACTAATTCCGATGTTTTAACCGAATCAAGCAAGAATTGCTGCGGAGTTAACGTGTGTTTTCTATTATTCGTCATCTGTCAGCGCACGAGCTCTCCTACTTTAGGATAGTAGTTCCGGCAATGAGCAAGTTTTCTATTTTAGAAAAACGTATCTCAAATCGTAGTCTAAGTAAATTGAATTACACCGCTTAAAAAATTTGTGAGATATCTCATGTGGGGTGAATTTAGGTATAAACCTTTTAGACAATATGGTGTTTTTTTTCAACTTTAAACCCGCTTCTAGTCTATTCATAAATACAGTACAAATTACAGAAAAGGAATGGCTTGCAAGCCTTGATGTTATTGCGACCCAGATGGATCTTTTGTGATCCCCATATATCTACACTTTCTAAAGCACTGTGTCCAGCCTTGATCCTTTAATCAGACTCCACAGGTTTTGACACAGGGCTTATCATGTAGCTTTCCGCTGTTGGATTCGTGGTTTCTACTATCTGAAACCGTACCCTTGCCAGTCCTTCGCAGCGGGTCTTTGTGTAATATATATTACATAACTTTTGACAAAAAATGTGTAACAAGCTTGATCAACAAAATTTTATTAAAATGTACTGATGGTTAATTGTACATCTTTTGTTAATATGTATGCTTAGACGACGGTGTCTTGTCAGGAGACCCACTATGGCTCTTAGAACCTTCCTATTAAGTCCGAATACGTCCTCTGTAAATGCGGGCCTTAGATTCTTGGACGGACTCTTTTACCTGCCTCTGCCATAATTGGCTCTTCCACCATTCTAGAGACTTTTTGATGGTTCTATTTCTTATGGACGTGTTCTCGTCACGCATCGCACAGAAAGACTCTGGACCTATAACAGGTTTGCAGTCTCATTCCTTATCAGCTCTCCCGAATTTTGGAATATTGAAATCAGAACATACAAAACCTACTTTCATTTTCATAGGATTCCGTTGTCTCGCCGAATCAGACCACATACAGGGTGTATCAACAGCACCGGAACGGCTTGATGACTCTCTGGGAATACATTTTAGCAGAAAATGCTTTTAATAAGTTGTAGGATTTTCCCTCAACTATTGGTCGGTGACCTTGGATTCGAATGGAAGGCAATTTGAAGGTCAATTTTAAAATTTCAAATGTAAACCTCGACTTTTGATTTCGGTAGTGGAACGAGCGGAAAATTTTACGTTCAAACGTGACCTTGAATGATCCTCATATTAGACCTTGAGTGATTTCTAAGTGCCGTATCGTCAGTCGTTCCTACAATAAATTGTAGGACGCCTTTATGGCCTCCTTGATTTTCAGTTTCTCCTGTCCTTTAGAAAAGCACTCTATTTTGAGGTTATATTACAAATATCTATACTAAGTGACATATAAATCCGAACACCCAGTTTAAATGGTTTTATTTTAATAAAATTTTGTATAAGTACTTAATGAAGCATAATAAGTAAGTGATAAAAATTTCAAAATGATTGCACTGCTTTAAAGCCCTTTGACCTTTAATAATGTGTGGATGCACTCTGATGTGCTACGCATTCTCCAACGCGCCTAGGCATGCTTCTGATCAGGTGGTCAATGTCCTCCTGTGGTATCTCACTCCAGGCAACCACCAACTCCTCTCGAAGTGCTTCTAGAGTCTGAGGAGGACCTTGCAAATTGAGCAATCTCCTACCCATCATATCCCACACGTGCTCAATTGGGGATAAGTCGGGAAATCTTGGTGGCCATGGTAACAATGTGACATCATTATGTTGAAAGAAGTCTATTGTGACTCTTGCAACATGTGGTCGGGCATTATCTTGTTGGAAAGTTGGATCTGCCAGGGTGTCAAGATAGGGTAAAAGATGGGGTTCTAGAACTTCGTGGATATAACGCTGCGCGTTCATGTTACCTCTGATGAAGATTAAAGCTGACCTGGAACCATAAACCCAAAACCATAACTCCAACAGTGTGATGAACATGTCTTTCAACAAAAAACTGTGGATTCCTCCATTCACCACGTCGCCTTCTAACCCTGGCACGACCATCGTGCATGCCTAAACAAAATCGACACTCGTCACTAAAGACAATACTGTTCCATTTCTGATCCCAGAGTGACCGTTGTCTGCACCACTCAAGGCGAATACGTCGGTGTTCTCGAGTTAAAGGGAGGACCCAGTGTGGCCGGTGTGAAAACAAGCCAAAACTTCTCATTCGTCGGTAAACACTTCGCATGGGAATAGGTCTTCCGTGTTCTGCAAACCATTCATTTGCAATGGACCTGGTAGTGGAGAAACGGTCCCTTAAGGCCAATAATCTTAGGCGGCGATATTCACGGTCTGTTGTTCTACGGCGGCGTCCAGTGCCCCTTGCTCTTTGGGTACGGCCTTCTCGAAGCCATGCCTGACAACACCTAACCACAGTGTCTACACTTCTTTGCACTCTAACTGCAATTGCCCGAAAAGAAAGTCCAGCTTCCCGAAGTCCCACTATACGGCCCCTATCAAACTCACTAAGTTGACGAAATCGTACAGGTTTCCGTACTCTAGGCATCGTAACCGATCGTAAAGGATGTCAAGAATCAAAATCCGCCAACGTTGATTCTTTACTGCGGCTGAAATATTCATTTTTAGAGCGTTATTGAATTAAAAAAAAGCAGTATCAAAACCGGAATGTCCAACTGATAAGGCTGAAAATTTTTTCACTTGTTAATTACAGTAAGATAAATACATTCACCAACTTTTATGAAAATAAAACCATTTAAACTGGGTGTTCGGATTTATATGTCACTTAGTAGGTATATTTGCATCAAATTTCTCATGCTGACACTGACACAGAACAGTAGAAATCTAGAAATACCCCAGCTTTTCTGAAGGGGAGAAAATACTATGAAAATCAAGGAGGCCATAAAGGCGTCCTACAATTGTTGGAATGATTGACGATACAGCCCTAAAGGTCAAGCTACCACTAACGCTACATATCGATAATTCTCCGTTAATGTATTTTAGTGGGAAATGCTTCATATAAAAGTTACGTGATTTTTCATCAGAAATCAGAAGGTGATCTTTGAATCAATATTGTCCTTGACCTTGACCATATGAAGGTCAACTTAAATTTTTTAAATGTAATCCCCAATTTATGACTCCGGTAATGAAACGAGCAAAAACTTTCACGTGCAGATATGGTGTTGTATGACCCACCATATATGTCCTTGAATGAACCACCGGGCAACTAAGGCAAGAATGATAGTCCCGGACAATCAAGACAAGGATAAGGTCCCCGCTCAGTTTGGCCTTGACAGATCGCTGTTTCCCAAACTCTTATGTTTTTTAATTCTACACTTGATAAGGCCTATATGATTCACCAATAAATATTTTAATTTTTTTCGATAACCTCTGGTCATTCAAGGTGAAATATGAGAGTCATTCAAGGTCATATGAGAACGTAAACTTTCATAGCCGGGGTCAAAAATAGGAGTTTGCGTTTAAAATTTTGAAGTTAACCTTCAAATGACCTTCAAGATAAACGTCAAGATGGAACCCAAGGTCACCTAATAGCTGACAAAGAATCCTAAACTTCTATTTGGATCATTTCCCCCTAAAATTCATTATCGATATCAGGCATTAGTGGTAGTTTGACATTGATGAATCAATCAATATCAAATATGAGGGTCATTCAAGGTCACGTTTACCGAATTCAAAAGTAGGATTTACATTTTAAAGTTGGAATTGAGGTAACCTTCAAGGTCAATATAAAGGTTGAATTCAAGGTCACCAACCGATGGTTAAGCAAAAATCCTACAACTTTTATTCGAAGTATTTCTACTCAAAATGTATTCCCAAAGAGTTAGCGAGCCGCTACGGTACTTTTGCCGCGTCCTGTAAGTTGTATCCCTGTTTATTGCAGTACGTTTCTGCCACGCTCAGTTTGGCCTTGACAGATCGCTGTTTCCCAAACCCATATGTTTTTTAAATCTACACTTGATAAGGCCTATATGATTCACCAATAAATATTTTCATTTTTTTCGATAACCTCTGGTCATTCAAGGTGAAATATGAGAGTCATTCAAGGTCATATGAGAACGTACACTCTCGCTCGTTTCATAGCCGGGGTCAAAAATAGGAGTTTGCGTTTAAAATTTTGAAGTTAACCTTCAAATGACCTTCAATATCAAGGTCAAGATGGAACCCAAGGTCACCTAATAGCTGAGGAAGAATCCTACAACTTCTATTTGGATCATTTCCCCCTAAAATTCATTATCGATATCAGGCATTAGTGGTAGTTTGACATTTATGAATCAATCAGTATCAAATATGAGGGCCATTCAAGGTCACGTTTAACAGATTCAAAAGTAGGGATTTACATTTTAAAGTTGGCCTTGAGGTAACCTTTAAGGTCAATATCAAGGTTGAATTCAAGGTCACCAACCGATGGTTAAGCAAAAATCCTACAACTTTTATTCGAAGTATTTCTACTCAAAATGTATTCCCAAAGAGTTAACGAGCCGCTACGGTACTTTTGCCACGTCCTGTAAGTTGTATCCCTGTTTATTGTAGTACGTTTCTGCCACGCTCAGTTTGGCCTTGACAGATCGCTGTTTCCCAAACTTTTATGTTTTTTAATTCTACACTTGATAAGGCCTATATGATTCACCAATAAATATTTTCATTTTTTTCGATAACATCTGGTCATTCAAGGTGAAATATTAGAATCATTCAAGGTCATATGAGAACGTAAACACTCGCTCGTTTCATAGCCGGGGTCAAAAATAGGAGTTTGCGTTTAAAATTTTGAAGTTAACCTTCAAATGACCTTCAAGATCAAGGTCAAGATGGAACTCAAGGTCACCTAATAGCTGAGGAAGAATCCTACAACTTCTATATGTATCATTTCCCCCTAAAATTCATTATCGATATCAGGCATTAGTGGTAGTTTGACATTTATGAATCAATCAATATCAAATATGAGGGTCATTCAAGGTCACGTTTACCGAATTCAAAAGTAGGATTCACATTTTAAAGTTGGAATTGAGGTAACCTTCAAGGTCAATATAAAGGTTGAATTCAAGGTCACCAACTGATGGTTAAGCAAAAATCCTACAACTTTTATTCGAAGTACTTCTACCCAAAGAGTTAACAAGCCGCTACGGTACTTTTGCCACGTCCTGTAAGTTGTATCCCTGTTTATTGCAGTACGTTTCTGCCACGCTCAGTTTGGCCTTGGCAGATCGCTGTTTCCCAAACTCCTATGTTTTTTAATTCTACATTTGATAAGGCCTATATGATTCACCAATAAATATTTTCATTTTTTTCGATAACCTCTGGTCATTCAAGGTGAAATATGAGAATTATTCAAGGTCATATGAGAACGTAAACTCTTTCGCTCGTTTCATTGCCGGGGTCAAAAATAGGAGTTTGCGTTTAAAATTTTGAAGTTAACCTTCAAATAACCTTCGAGATCAAGGTCAAGATGGAACCCAAGGTCACCTAATAGCTGAGGAAGAATCCTACAACTTCTATTTGGATCATTTCCCCCTAAAATTCATTATCGATATCAGGCATTAGTGGTAGTTTGACATTTATGAATCAATCAATATCAAATATGAGGGTCATTCAAGGTCACGTTTAACAGATTCAAAAGTAGGGATTTACATTTTAAAGTTGGCCTTGAGGTAACCTTCAAGGTCAATATCAAGGTCACCAACCGATGGTTAAGCAAAAATCCTACAACTTTTATTCGAAGTATTTCTACTCAAAAGAGTTAACGAGCCGCTACGGTACTTTTGCCACGTCCTGTAAGTTGTATCCCTGTTTATTGTAGTACGTTTCTGCCACGAATTCTTGTTGTACTTGTAAAAGGCATCCGCGGTGGCCGAAATGTCGTATAATAAGGGAAAATAAAACATATATGTGGTTTTATTCTAACAAGCACGAGAGCCCCATAAAGATAAAAACCACAACTTGAGCTCTAAATATGAATAAAAGTCAGTAGCTAGGCCAATGCATGTATTGTGACGTCACAGATGAACTGGAATGAAACTGCCACAACTTCCTCAAATTTCAAGATATCGAAATGATTCTGTCGAATTTGCCAAGGGCACCAGTTATACTATCATACTCGTACTTAGCTAATATAATTTTTGAATACAGGAATTCTGGTTGTCAGATACGGAGTGAAGAATTAAGAAGAATAAATACATGAGTGAACGTGCATTAAACTGACTATTTCTGAGGTCAGTTGCTGAAAAAATAACTTTGATGTCATGGCGTTGTGTGCCCGAGAGCTTGCTAGTCTAAAGTATTCTTTGCCCTCTTCCATAATACCGTGTTTTCAAACTCGGGGCTTGCTAGATTGGTTCGTCAAGTCTCTATTTCTCCAGGCTATCAAGAATACGGATCGATCTGACAGACAAGGTGACCTCCAGTTCTGATTGCCTTCAAAATGCGTATCAAAAAATGGATCACAAGGAGTCTTTATTCTAATTGCGGTAGCTCAATATTTAGGTTCTGCCTTCGAGGCTGCTCTATCATAAAAAATACACCCATCAGAACGAATGGGTCATCCAAGTCTTTATACGTTCAGACAGAGATGACCTCTAAGTTCTTCGTCACGGGGTCAGTAACAGAAATTTTCAATACTTTTCCTCTGCTACGGCTCTGACCATTAAACGTTCATTTGCGTGGATGTTTTCGAACAAAGTAGTTATAATACACCTAATGACGAGAAAACAATGATTACTTACTTGGGACGTTAATTTAAACAAAAATATACGTGTTGTGATATAGGTATATTGCCACATGCTTTGCTCATGCCATAAGGGTCAATGTTAGCACGCACATTTTCAACAAAGATTCACATTTGATTATTCATTGATAATTATGTACTAATTATGAGTATGTTTCTACTAGCTGGTATGTGGCAACAAAAATGGTACATTACAGTAAATCTGTATTTTTTTATTTGCCGTAAAAGAAAGCGGAATTCTTGAGAATCTGTATAAACAGAATAAAAGCGAAAAAAATTTACTATGCAAACATAATTTATATATATTTATATAAAGAGAAAACGATCATGCGGAGAAAGGTATATAACAAAAAGTTAGAAAATAATGGACAAAATCCGCAAAAAGGAAGAAAGTGGATTCGAGCAGAAAATAGGATAGGTAACCCGAGCGATACGTATTTCGCGATCTCCATCTTCGTTTCCTCAGGTTACACCGGTATTCGGATGTGTGGGCATGTGTATCTTTTGTAGTTTCATATGTGCATTCACTTTGGGCCTGATGAAGCCAACCAGCAGAAATACGTATCGCTCGGGTTACCTATCCTATTTTTTGCTCGAATCCACTTTCCTCCTTTTAGCGGATTTTGCCCATTTTTTGTTCTTGTTATATATATATATATATATATATATATATATATATATATATAGGTGAAAAATTAAAGCTTCCGCCTTTTGTTGGGTACTTCGACAAAATTTAAGCAAAGAGGACTCTTTATACTTTTTTTAATTCTCTCTAGCTTTCAATGGACTTTGCCATCATCATCAGGAGCTGCAATTACAATGATAACAGTAGCAACAAAAGTGTAAAATGAATTTAAATTGAATCAACTTACAGTAGTATGTGAGGATGTTGCTAATTGTTGTTTTCGTATAGGATGAGGGAAACGTCCAGTAACATGGTGAGAGCTGGATACATGGTACAATGGTTAAAATTATATAAAATATGACAAGACAAGTTAAAGACAGATTAAAAATTATTTAGAAAACATTAGAGCATTACGTCGTGAAGCCACTTGATGATTGCACAAAATGGTGGTCATGGAATAATGAGTGAGATGAATCTTTTAACAGAAGGCCAAAGGTTGTCAATGACCTTAGGTGTAGATGGATTTCAGAATAAGCAATACATTAGCACTGCTACTTTTCCTCCTTTCGAAGATGACATAGTTAGAATTCTAACATGACGTTACGTCTCTTGTGCTCGAGCATCAATTTTATTTTTTCTTATAAACGCCTCCGTGGATTGTTACACAGGTGAATAGAAGCAGGTTTGTACATCCATTCTCAGGATCTGTAGCGATTATGAGCAAATTTGTGTCATCTGCATACTTCGTGATTTTACATTCATCAGGTCTGATACAGGTGTCAATGTGATTTAAAAAAATTACAATGAACGACTTATTATACTGCCACGAGACATCCCTGTTTTAACATTAAGTTCATTCGTAATAACTGCTCCATTACGTCCGCAATATTTGTTTCTTTATATTGTAGGTTATTATTATCTTAATTTTTAATAAATATGACTCCAGCTTTTTTTCTAGGCTACATGATCCTAAACAAACCAAAAACAGACAAAATCAGGGTGGTTCTTGAGGGCGCATTGCTCCCTCCATATTATGGAAATCTATCTAAAGATGTGATGGTCGTATGGGTTCAACTAATGGTGATGAAGGATGTTCCTAGGCCTATAGATACATCAGCTATAAGGGACTCTGATATACTGTGGCTCCAGGTACTCCTAACCTATAAAAATGAATGTAGTCAAGTACCATTGTGACAGAGAGTAGTATTACTAATCGTACCCCGCTGCTAGCGCGGTGGGCCTTTGCGTAACGTATGGAGCGTACGTTTTGAAAAAAAAAATTAACAAGCTCGGTTAACGAAATAACAAAACTATATAAAAATAAAAATTATCTCATCTTCCCTTGAGCAGTGTTTGTCCACTTTCCGAGTTTTTCTAAAAACGCGCGCTCGCACTTTTTTTTTTTTGGTGAGGGGGGGTTTACGCACCATACCACAGCCCGAGCTACGGCGTGTGTGGGACTCCAGGTTGTCTTGAGGAGACCACCTAATACCCACTAAACCCTAACCACCGCGTGGCCCGACTCATCAGCGTCTCGGTAGGCCATGTGTTGTGCGTGACCTGCGGTCTGCTACAACGTCTCCTCATGTGTTTCAGTCTCTGGGAACGCCGGGTTGGTTCCCTTTACCTCGCACATTCTATCGATGTCGTTAAGCGATCATCAATAGAGGGTCTGCTAGGTTCTCTTGAAACTCTTGTTTTCGAAAAATGAAGAGTTTCAAGTCCTCTTACCTATATATTGTTCCTGGTCCTGGTCCTGAAGGGTCCTGGTCCTGGTGGGTCCTGGTCGTGGCGGGTCCTGGTCCTGGTTGGTCGTGGTCCCGGTGGGTCCTGGTCCCGGTGGTTCCTGGTCCTCTGCATCCACGCCGTGGGGGGGGGAGCAACCGCGGGTTCTCCTAGTCTCCTAGTCAAGGTTCCAGTTAGCGGGTGCCAACTGGGACCTTGGTCTAGGGTACCTGGTTCTGCGGTTGCGAGGCCTCTCGTCCGGATCGTAGTCCATGAGGAATCGTAGCTGCTCGTTCGGGTGGTCCTGAGCTTTCTGGAAGGTCTTCTCCGCTTTTTTCCTCATGTACTCGTGAATGGTGTCCCAATGCAGGTCTCTACGCAAGGTTGAGTTTCTTACGTAGGATGGTGCACTGGTGGCGATCCGGAGTAGCTTCATCTCTAGAGCAGCAAGTCGCTTGCGGTAGCTGGGGGCAGCGTACCCCCAGACCGCGGAGGCGTAAGCGAGCTGAGGTCTGGCGATGGCCTTGATCAGCCGTAGCTTGGTCGCTAGCGGCATCCGGCTGTGTCTACCCAGTAATGGGTAGAGTTGAGCCATTGCTGCTCTGGTCTTTGCGATGACAGCTTCTATGTGGGCTTTCCAGGTGAGGGTCTTGTCAAATACGATCCCCAGATATTTGACTTTGTCGCTCCACTGGATATCTTCGTCGAAGATGGATGCTTCGAGAGGTCTTGCAATCCTTCTTCGTTGAATGAAGATTGCCTGCGTCTTCTGGACGTTGATGCGGATTTTCCATTTCACTCACCAGTCCTGGATGTGGTCCAGTTCATCCTGTAGTCTCCTACGGATCATCTCGGGTCGTCGATGCTTGGCGCACTTTTGGGTCTTCCATACGTTGTCATAAAATTTTCGATACACTAACATTTGGTGGGTTATACTCTCTCGGTACATAATTTAAATAACAACCAATCTCTAGCTCTCCTGTACGAAGCGAGTTCATGGCAAAAACAGTTTTAGTAAGCATCTTTGGATATAAACCTGGGTGTCCACAGTTTTTCCTCAAATTCAACAAACATGGTGTGCTGAAACTCCAGGCTCAGAAATCGCACACTAGTCTAGACGTTTGCTTTAAATGTTACTCATTTAGACAATTTTCAATACCGGAGGTACAAAATCTATTATAATCACAAGATTTCTGCTTCTCCAAAACGCTTACGCCCCAGAGCCCTGCGACATACAGATATTCTTTCAAGTTCTTCCTGAGATTATTTGGGACAAGTCTTTCCCTTTCGACAATGTAAGGCATTTTGACGCTCATCACAACAGTCCACGATCTCCTTACATGTTTCATTGTAGAAAGATCAGACATCAAAATCAGGTTTTCTAAAAACTTTTGTCACATACGTTACGTGTGCGAGGACTACATCGTACTCAATGGTGTACGATGCGAGACGTCACTATTTTCCTTCTTAATACTTTGCTATACCTATTCTTGAAAGAACGTTCTACCTTTACCAATACCTCAATATGTCAAGTTCTTTCACAATATATTTCTGGATATATTCTATTTTGTTTTAGAATATTTCTGATGCTTGGGTAGTCCCCGTAGTCTCAGAACAACTGATTGGTCAAGTTCCTGAAGTAAGACATAAGAAAATCTTCCACTTGACCTCCCACGAAATAGAGAACGCTTCATATCAACTCATACGCCTTCAATTCAAGACCAATTTGGAATCAAACTTTCCAGTTTCTATGGGGTACAACTTACAACCGATCAATCCAGATGATGGGGTTATTTATGCCGCTTTGGTATTGATTGGACTTTATGTTTTGATCGTCTTTGATGTAAGTATTGCCAATTATTAATGTATTCTTCAAGAAGGTGCTCATTCCTATGCTGTATTTACGGACGGTCGCATATAAGTTAAGACAGCTCCAGCCTCCAAGAAAAGATCACCACTCAACCTCCCTCCTAATTATTCACATTCGTCATCTTCAACATCATCATAATCATCATCATCATCATCATCATCATCATCATCATCATCATCATCATCATCATCATCATCATCATCATGATCATCATCATCATCATCATCATCATTATTATGATCATCATCATCATCGTCATCATGACCATCATTATCATCATCAGTAGCGTTGAAGCACTGATTAATATATTCTCCAAGAAGAAAAAGACTCCCAACAATGCTGTATTTGGACCTTTACAATTGCTTATTATTAAACATGGCACCAAGTTTCCGAAGAAAAGGCCACCACTCAACCTCTCTCGTATTTATTCCTAACCAGGCGACAACGCTGGTGCCTAAAGATGATGGTTGGCAGGTTTACAGTTGTAAGCAATAATTGAAATGAGTGGTGAAAACTTCAAAAGGTCATTATCCCTGTATATTTATTCATTTATTCTTTGTAATACGTACTTTTAGATAATACACAGAACACTGGCTGCAATGTTGGCAAGCACAATGTCCTTAGCGATTTTAGCAGCTTTAAACGAAAGACCTACTATGGAAGAAATCATTTCTTGGATAGATATGGAAACTTTGATCCTACTTTTTTCTATGATGATTTTAGTAACAATCTTCAGTGAAACTGGAGTTTTTGATTACACTGCCCTTTGGGCCCTAAAAGTGAGTAGTTAGTTTTGTGAGCTATTTTTGTAGAAGACAATATTTCATTACCTATTTTTCAGAAAACAGGTGGTAGTTTGTGGCCTTTGATTAACATGTTGTGCGTTTTGACAGCTTTGCTGTCGTGTTTCCTAGATAATGTAACTACGGTATTGCTCATAACACCAACAACTATAAAGTAAGTATTTTCAACCAAACTGTTTAACTAAAAAACCACAAACTATTCATTTTTTAATTTATTGCTAATATATTTATCATCTAAAATTCCACTATTTTAGATTGTGTGAGGTGATGAAGTTAAATCCGAAGCAAATATTAATGTTTACTTTGATATTTGCAAACATTGGAGGAGCAGTAACACCTATAGGTGATCCTCCTAATGTTATAATCGCATCTAACAGTGAAGTGATCAATTCAGTAAGTAGAAATATACTAAGTGACATATAAATCCGAACACCCAGTTTAAATGGTTTTATTTTAATAAAAGTTGGTGAATGTATTTATCTTACTGTAAATAACAAGTGAAAAAATTTTCAGCCTTATCAGTTGGACATTCCGGTTTTTATACTGCTTTTTTTAAATTCACTAACGCTCTAAAAATGAATATTTCAGCCGCAGTAAAGAATCAACGTTGGCGGATTTTGGTTCTTGACATCCTTTACGATCGGTTACGATGCCTAGAGTACGGAGACCTGTACGATTTCGTCAACTTAGTGAGTTTGATAGGGGCCGTATAGTGGGACTACGGGAAGCTGGATTTTCTTTTCGGGCAATTGCAGTTAGAGTGCAAAGAAGTGTAGACACTGTGGTTAGGTGTTGTCAGGCATGGCTTCGAGAAGGCCGTACGCAAAGAGCAAGGGGCACTGGACGCCGCCGTAGAACACCAGACCGTGAAGATCGCCGCCTAAGATTATTGGCCTTAAGGGACCGTTTCTCCACTACCAGGTCCATTGCAAATGGATGGTTTGCAGAACACGGAAGACCTATTGGCATGCGAAGTGTTTACCGACGAATGAGAAGTTTTGGCTTGTTTTCATACCGGCCACACTGGGCCCTCCCTTTAACTCGAGAACACCGACGTAATCGCCTTGAGTGGTGCAGACAACGGTCACTCTGGGATCAGGAATGGAACAGTATTGTCTTTAGTGACGAGTCTCGATTTTGTTTAGGCATGCACGATGGTCGTGCCAGGGTTAGAAGGCGACATGGTGAAAGGAGGAATCCACAGTTTTTTGTTGAAAGACATGTTCATCACACTGTTGGAGTTATGGTTTGGGGTGCTATAGCTTATGGTTCCAGGTCACCTTTAATCTTCATCAGAGGTAACATGAACGCGCATCGTTATATCCACGAAGTTCTAGAACCCCATCTTTTACCCTATCTTGACACCCTGGCAGATCCAACTTTCCAACAAGATAATGCCCGACCACATGTTGCAAGAGTCACAATAGACTTCTTTCAACATAATGATGTCACATTGTTACCATGGCCACCAAGATCTCCCGACTTATCCCCAATTGAGCACGTGTGGGATATGATGGGTAGGAGATTGCTCAATTTGCAACGTCCTCCTCAGACTCTAGAAGCACTTAGAGAGGAGTTGGTGGTTGCCTGGAATGAGATACCACAGGAGGACATTGACCACCTGATCAGAAGCATGCCTAGGCGCGTTGGAGAATGCGTAGCACATCAGGGTGCATCCACACATTATTAAAGGTCAAAGGGCTTTAAAGCAGTGCAATCATTTTGAAATTTTTATCATTTACTTATTATGCTTCATTAAGTACTTATACAAAATTTTATTAAAATAAAACCATTTAAACTGGGTGTTCGGATTTATATGTCACTTAGTATACATATTGAATCTTGAGTTACCTGTTCCCATCTCTATCTTTATACCTACGTTTCTCTGTTTCTTTATCTGTCTACTAGTGCTTTCTAGTTCACTTCGGTGAACTAGTTCAATAGGTCGCGCTCACTAATACGAACCTGTTCCAGGAGCTAGTTCACGAACGAACTACTTTACACAAGAATAATGTTAAGCAGCGTCGGGTGCGGTTAGTATTTGAATGGGTAACCGCTTCGGAACACCTCTATTGTTGTCTAATTTGTAATTCTTTTTTTTTGTCGAGATAGATGTTTCAAATTTTCACACATTTTCATTTTAGTATTGGTTTAATTTCTTTATGAGCCGCAGTGGGTGATATTTTTGCTGGTACTCTTGAATGATATATTTTATTTTTGAATTACTAACTAATGCTTATACTTTGTTGCAATTTTTATTGGTTGTATTTGTAGGGAATAACTTTTGGAATATTCACACTGCATATGAGTATGGGAGTTGTGTTAGCATTCATTGTGGTTTATCTTCAAATTAGAATAATATACAGAGACTTAAAGTACTATCAGTTTGATGAACCATCTCCTGTAGAAGGTAAGATTTACCATTATCCTCTATCCTATCTAAGCTTATTGAATTTTCAAACTGCAGCTAGCAATGGGAAATAATGATATTTTAACAGATCGTTGCTATTGAACCTTCTCAGTGGCTGCCTTTCTGGTTGCTAGACAATATTTTATATGCGAAAAATAAACGGTCGCATTCAAATGACTGAATCTTTAGAGTAAAAAAAAGGTTGAAATAACGTTGTATACGGTTGGTTCTGGTCACAGACATTGGAAACAAACAGGTCCAATTCTGCTAATGTCATTGTGTAACATTCTACCAGAAGAAATCCGAGATGAAATGAAGTGCCGTAGGTTCAGCTATAAGAATTTGTCACAGCTATCTTTCTCATCTCTGCAATCATTAGATAATCTACTTTAAAAAGGTTAGTGTCTCACAGATGGAGCTGTAGCCAACTATATACAGGGAAAGCTCGAAGTTGGAACATTTCGTTACACGTTGTGACAGGCTAGGTTTAAGTTAGCGGTGGAGTTGCGGATAAATAGGTGGTAGCGGCAACAGTGCGCAGTCGACGTTGCCCGCGGGACAAGAAGGTGAAAGAAGGGGGACTGACGAACGGAGTGTGAGCAAGAGGGTTAGCGGGTCGCGCGCGCCAGAACGCGGCTACATATTTTAACTTTAATTAATTCTATAAATAGGGAATTAATCGGCTCAAAAAAGTGGCACACTCAGCAATATCGGAGTTGTCCATATTATATCAATTTACGGTGAGTGTCTTCAAAATGCTACCAAAACTTCGCGAGGACATGCAGATCGTTTTTAAAGATCCTTCGTGATTTATTTTTCTATTTGGAACGAAATGAAATGTTTAGTGTTTTAAACTGACGTGAACACGATTCATGAACTATGTATGCGAATTAAGCAATCTGCTGCATTCATTCGAGAAAGGCAGTCTATTCTAAATGCCTTCTAAACGCCTACACCGATGCTTGGCTAGGTAGACTTCTACTTATTGCAGAGAGGAGAAGAATCTCTATAGATGATGCTATGGTATGTCATTACATCTCGGATAATTTTTCTGGCGCACGAATATAGGTAGAATTCCTTAATCAATATTAATACTTAGTATTCTGATATATGTGAAATACCAAAGCAACGTTACAATTTGGAATTTCTTCTCAGACTTGAAAAGAGAGATACAGATATGGACAAGGACAGCAAACTCGGTTGGAAGCTACAGTAAGGATGAGGATGCAGTTAAAGAATCTTTGTGGAAGAAAACAGAAAAGTTGAAAGATGATCTCAAGCTAGTTGTTAACACGAGCAACAACAATACTTCGAAGATGAATGAAATCAACCTAAAAGAATTAGAAGAAAGGGTATTGTGCATTACTAAAGCGTTTACCATTGTCTCAAAGAAGACGTCATGTTGTACTACTTGCTTTACTATTGTAATTTTTGATCTATGAATATCTGTAGATATTCTTCCCCGTCTTATTATAACAAACTCTGAAATACATACTCTTTTACAGTACTCGATCAAAAACAAGTCCTTATTGATCAAGTCTGGAATAACTCTTTCTCTGGTGATCTGCGTCTTTTTTCTTCACTCTGTGCCAGCCCTCAGTAAGTGAGAATCAATATATCCCAATATTCATATTTTTGTATTCTATCTATACAAAAAGGTTGGGTAGTCAAGTGAGTTAGCGCTTTTTGAGATTCGAATATTGGCCTCTGTGTTCACATTTCGTAAAATATACTAAGTGAAATATAAATCTGAACACCCAGTTTAAATGGTTTTATTTTAATAAAATTTTGTATGAGTACTTAATGAAGCATAATAAGTAAATGATAAAAATTTCAAAATGATTGCACTGCTTTAAAGCCCTTTGACCTTTAATAATGTGTGGATGCACCCTGATGTGCTACGCATTCTCCAACGCGCCTAGGCATGCTTCTGATCAGGTGGTCAATGTCCTCCTGTGGTATCTCATTCCAGGCAATCACCAACTCCTCTCGAAGTGCTTCTAGAGTCTGAGGAGGACGTTGCAAATTGAGCAATCTCCTACCCATCATATCCCATACGTGCTCAATTGGGGATAAGTCGGGAGATCTTGGTGGCCATGGTAACAATGTGACATCATTATGTTGAAAGAAGTCTATTGTGACTCTTGCAACATGTGGTCGGGCATTATCTTGTTGGAAAGTTGGATCTGCCAGGATGTCAAGATAGGGTAAAAGATGGGGTTCTAGAACTTCGTGGATATAACGCTGCGCGTTCATGTTACCTCTGATGAAGATTAAAGGTGACCTGGAACCATAAGCTATAGCACCCCAAACCATAACTCCAACAGTGTGATCAACATGGCTTTCAACAAAAAACTGTGGATTCCTCCTTTCACCACGTCGCCTTCTAACCCTGGCACGACCATCGTGCATGCCTAAACAAAATCGAGACTCGTCACTAAAGACATTACTGTTCCATTCCTGATCCCAGAGTGACCGTTGTCTGCACCACTCAAGGCGATTACGTCGGTGTTCTCGAGTTAAGGGGAGGACCCAGTGTGGCCGGTATGAAAACAAGCCAAAACTTCTCATTCATCGGTAAACACTTCGCATGCCAATAGGTCTTCCGTGTTCTGCAAACCATTCATTTGCAATGGACCTGGTAGTGGAGAAACGGTCCCTTAAGGCCAATAATTTTAGGCGGCGATCTTCACGGACTGTTGTTCTACGGCGGCGTCCAGTGTCCCTTGCTCTTTGCGTACGGCCTTCTCGAAGCCATGCCTGACAACACCTAACCACAGTGTCTACACTTCTTTGCACTCTAACTGCAATTGCCCGAAAAGAAAGTCCAGCTTCCCGAAGTCCCACTATACGGCCCCTATCAAACTTACTAAGTTGACGAAATCGTACAGGTCTTCGTACTCTAGGCATCGTAACCGATCGTAAAGGATGTCAAGAACCAAAATCCGCCAACGCGGATTCCTTACTGCGGCTGAAATATTCATTTTTAGAGCGTTAGTGAATTAAAAAAAGCAGTATAAAAACCGGAATGTCCAACTGATAAGGCTGAAAATTTTTTCACTTGTTATCTACAGTAAGATAAATACATTCACCAACTTTTATTAAAATAAAACCATTTAAACTGGGTGTTCGGATTTATATGTCACTTAGTATAATTATTATTAAATGCATTCCCGATATAAGGGACGTTCTGGCAATTTCTGATGGTTTTGGATAGTTAGCCAATTCAGTTTAACGTTTGACGCAAGGATTTGAGTGCCACCTTTTTGATAATTTGTTTGGTCAACTGAATTTGGCGGTTGCATATCGTTTGAATATCTTTTTATAATAATTTTATTTTCTTTTGCTATAACCCATAGTTTTAAAAAAAATTCTTTGTCGTACTTACGTAAAGAACAATAATAGAGTTCGTAACATGTTCTGGATTCTTGTCACATATTTTACGATATGGTCAATATGACCAAATCGATATGGTCTATCGCGGATGACCAAATCGTTAAACGTTGAAGGTTTAATGATATGATCAAATTCAGCTGGTCATTTCATGAAATGTCACCATTCTGAGTAATGCTCGATAATTTTATGAAATTAGCAATTTTACGATATGGTCACGACTATAGTATGCATCAGATCAGTGCAAGATCAACATATACTAAGTGACATATAAATCCGAACACCCAGTTTAAATGGTTTTATTTTAATAAAAGTTGGTGAATGTATTTATATTACTGTAAATAACAAGTGAAAAAATTTTCAGCCTTATCAGTTGGACATTCCGGTTTTTATACTGCTTTTCTTTAATTCACTAACGCTCTAAAAATGAGTATTTCAGCCGCAGTAAAGAATCAACGTTGGCGGATTTTGATTCTTGACATCCTTTACGATCGGTTACGATGCCTAGAGTACGAAGACCTGTACGATTTCGTCAACTTAGTGAGTTTGATAGGGGCCGTATAGTGGGACTTCGGGAAGCTGGACTTTCTTTTCGGGCAATTGCAGTTAGAGTGCAAAGAAGTGTAGACACTGTGGTTAGGTGTTGTCAGGCATGGCTTCGAGAAGGCCGTACGCAAAGAGCAAGGGGCACTGGACGCCGCCGTAGAACAACAGTCCGTGAAGATCGCCGCCTAGGATTATTGGCCTTAAGGGACCATTTCTCCACTACCAGGTCCATTGCAAATGAATGGTTTGCAGAACACGGAAGACCTATTGGAATGCGAAGTGTTTACCGACGAATGAGAAGTTTTGGCTTGTTTTCATACCGGCCACACTGGGTCCTCCCTTTAACTCGAGAACACCGACGTAATCGCCTTGAGTGGTGCAGACAACGGTCACTCTGGGATCAGGAATGGAACAGTATTGTCTTTAGTGACGAGTCTCGATTTTGTTTAGGCATGCACGATGGTCGTGCCAGGGTTAGAAGACGACGTGGTGAAAGGAGGAATCCACAGTTTTTTGTTGAAAGACATGCTCATCACACTGTTGGAGTTATGGTTTGGGGTGCCATAGCTTATGGTTCCAGGTCACCTTTAATCTTCATCAGAGGTAACATGAACGCGCAGCGTTATATCCACAAAGTTCTAGAACCCCATCTTTTACCCTATCTTGACACCCTGGCAGATCCAACTTTCCAACAAGATAATGCCCGACCACATGTTGCAAGAGTCACAATAGACTTCTTTCAACATAATGATGTCACATTGTTACCATGGCCACCAAGATCTCCCGACTTATCCCCAATTGAGCACGTGTGGGATATGATGGGTAGGAGATTGCTCAATTTGCAACGTCCTCCTCAGACTCTAGAAGCACTTCGAGAGGAGTTCGTGGTTGCCTGGAATGAGATACCACAGGAGGACATTGACCACCTGATCAGAAGCATGCCTAGGCGCGTTGGAGAATGCGTAGCACATCAGCGTGCATCCACACATTATTAAAGGTCAAAGGGCTTTAAAGCAGTGCAATCATTTTGAAATTTTTATTATTTACTTATTATGCTTAAGTACTTATACAAAATTTTATTAAAATGAAACCATTTAAACTGGGTGTTCGGATTTATATGTCACTTAGTATAGGTACATGGCATTGCTATAGCGGCCGATTCAATGATCAATTACCTGTAGATAGAATGTGCTGGTAATACGTTGGTAGGAAAAAAGGGTCAAAGGTAGCCTAATTGCCACTACCACTAACTACACGCAATATTTCTAGTGTGAAGGTTGCCAAGATACGTTTAATGGGAATTTTTGTCTTCAAAGACTAGAAACCCATTTTTGATCTGATTTGCTACATAAACTAGCTCAACAAAGATTTTTATAAAAATTGTAACTGTTGAATGCTACTTTGATATTTTGTAGGTAGACTTGGCTTAGGCTGGACAGCACTACTAGGAGCTCTTCTACTCTTCCTCCTCTATGATAACCAAGATTTGGAAGGAATATTTGCAAGAGTGGAATGGTCCACTCTGTTATTTTTTGCATCTCTGTTCATTCTGATGGAGGTAAGTAATGTGCTTCTCGTCTTAAAAGTTGGAACTTACTCCACACGCTGGTAGCTCTTGTAAAAATAAGCAAATTTCCCAAGTAACTTAAGCACCAAATCTTAATATCGGGATAATAAGTAAACATTTGCGATATCAAATACAGCTTTGCCTCTAGCGAATGGTTAGGTGAAAAGGTTCGACGTGCGTTGGTATTCAAACTATCATGTAGGTATACCGAACGGTTTGTTTAAAAATTTTTTGAAAAAACCGAAAATTGCATAGATATAGCAATAATGAACTGGTCTACTCCAGTATATTTTTTCGCATTTTCGCTGTTGCGTGAATTAGGTTTTGTTATTCCAAGCGTAATTTCTGAAAAGGAGAGTCTCAACTTTCAAGCAATCTATACAGGGTGACTTCGAAGTTGAGTCATTTATTTTAACAGTGATTAGATCTGATCAAATGAAATGTTTTTTTCCTTTACCATTTTTCTGGTAAAATTAAAGTAACAAAGTTATAGCCCTTTGGAAGTTTGAGTACCGCCCTGTCTCAATAATAATATTATGTGCTCGTGTTTGGCGACAACGGATATAATCCGCCTTACCGGTTCATCGCATCGGAAACAAAAAAGCGAAAGAATGTGGAACGATGTTTTTACAATTATTTCATTCAGTTGTATACAGTCAGTGTCAGTCGGTAGTGAATAGTGGTGTAACTGTTGCGTGGCTCAAACGAAATAAAAAATGGCACATGTTTATGCGGATCGGTTTCCCAATCGAGTGCAACCAACCCCTCGTGCCTTTGTTAATGTAGTACAACGGGTTCGTGAATCAGGTGACTTAAGACCTCACATATGGACGGCATGCCGGTGCTCCAAGACCTCACGATCAAATACAGGTCCGCACTGAAATACTTGTCGGGAGGATACTTTATAAAACAAGGTAAAATTTATTTTAATTTTTTTTTTATTTTTACACACATGTTTTGGTTTATCTTCCTTCTACAATCATTATCTGAAAATTAATGACTCAACTTCAAAGTCACCCTGTATATGGCAGCTGTAGTCGTGTAAACTAAATATTTATTAATTTTACAGGCCTTGGCTCGCTTAGGTCTTATCGACTGGATAGGCCTGCAGACCCAATACGTCATCACCTCAGTCTGTCCCGAATCTCGTCTAGCAGCAGCCATAGTCCTGATCCTCTGGGTATCCGCCATAGCCTCAGCCTTTGTGGACAACCTGCCTTTGACTACAATGATGCTGCGTATTGCAGTCAATCTAGCTGGCAACCAAGAGTTGCACCTGCCACTGCAACCGCTTATTTGGGCATTGTCTTTTGGAGCCTGCCTAGGAGGTATTGAACAGACCATTTTGTTAGATATGAAAGAAAGTTAGAGACCGTATGTTCTCACCAAAGCGACAACAACCAGATCAGTTGATCCCTACATCATTGAAACGTCCATTGTTCTAATCATAGACTAAATTCAGTTTGGCGCCCATCATGCAATTCAAGTGGCTTATAGCTTTCTTGGAATAAAAATGTGTAGGATTTGTGTGTTGTTTGGTCGTGAATGCGGAAGAAGGTAGACGGCTCAGTAACAACGGACATATTCAACATACTAAGTAAATACAAATTGAATTAAGGATATTTGTTCGCGCGACTCGGAACTGGTACCGCCGAGGGGCAGAACTAACTAGCAGCGCGCTGATCAAGAGGGTTGTTCCTTGGTGCTCTCACAGATATCGAGATTGTTCAAAAACGCCATTTCGAAATGATGGCGAAATGTGGTTCTTATTCAAATGTGGCTTAGATACCTTATTGCACCTAAGGCCCGTATCGTCAGTCGTCCCTACAATTGTAGGGCGCTTTTATGGCCTCCTTGATTGTCATACTCTTTTCTCTCCTTCAAAAATTTCTAGATTACACTCGTCCCGTGTCAGCGTCAGCGCTCTCCTATTGTTAAGATATGTTTTCCTTTTAAATTGTAGGAAATTTCAGGCTGAAAAAACATGATAAAACTCAAAAGCAAGCACAATTTGATGCAAATAGATGTTTGTGACGTAACCTCAAAATAGAGCGCTGACACGGAGAAGTACAAAACTATGACAATCAAGGAGGCCATAAAGGCGCCCTACAGTATATTCAGATAAGAGATAGACCGGACATAAACAAGACCACGTGATCATCGAACGCTGTAACATTCGGCAGGGACGTATTAAGAGTCACGCAGTACATATTTTAGATAGTAGATGCTGCTTTGCGTAACTTTGTAGTAAATTAGCACAATTCGATGTGTATACGATTGGTGATGGATATAGGATCATGTGGGGGTGGGGTAAGAAATATATAATGATGTAAATATACATAAGGGTTTCAAAATTTTCGCTTCGATTTCCAGCTTCGGATGCCGCCTGATGTTTGGTGAAATACAGTCAAATATAATCTCAAAATGGCGTTTAAATTAGCCGAAATTAAAAATAATCGTATATCTCTTAAAATTGCTTTTAGAATATTGATTAGTATATTTTTTGATTTCTAGGTAAATATGTAACCAAATTAAAACGTTCAAGACGTAAAAAAATGTGCATGGTTGAACATTGTCAGAAAGTAGATTCTTGAATAGGTTTTGCCAAAATGGGTTCAAAAATGTCAATAATTAATCAAAAAATACAGTAGCTTTATAATTACTTATAACTTACCGAATTTGATGAACGACATCTTTTATTGGAAAGATGAGCTTGATGAGCTTTCATCATCGCTACTGCCTGAAGCACCAACGTCAATAATGAATGGCTCGACTTGTTCCTCTAAAATATTGTCCAGTTCCCACATTCTCTTTTCAACTTTGTCTTTCACGTGCTTAATACAGTTTTCCCATTTTTGCGCTGTTATTAATTCTAGTGCTTCTTTGAAAAGTCCTTTGAGGTCACAAAATTTAAAAGTTGTATTGTGCTTAGCTATATAATTTTTAACCTCTGCCCATATGAGCTCAATGGGATTGAGCTCGCAATGGTATGGAGGTAAACGGAGCACAGTTTTATTTTGACTTGCTGCCATTTCGTCAATGGCGTATTTTTGATATTCCGCCTTGTGATCCTTGACAATTCTTATTAATTGTACTTTCAGCATTGCTTCTTCAAAGTTGATATTTTTCGAGCGGAGCCAATTTTGAACATTAACTTTCCTTGAAGCCGTTGTTGGGACCTTCTCCATTCTTCGAGAATGATAAGGCGCATTATCCAACACAATTACTGCGTTTTCCTCTAAGTTCGGTAAAATTTTTGAAAACCACTGTTCAAACGATTCGCCATTCATTTCCTCGTGGTAATCTCCAGTTTTCTTAGACTCAAAGCACCACAGACCGTCAACAACAAATCCATCCTCACTGCCAATATGGCAGATAATGAGCCTTTTCCCTTTACCTGGAAATCGAAGTACTAACTGGTGTAGATTTATTTCAATAAGCGAACCTTTTTCAAATGTTTTCATCACATTCAGCGAAAAAACATTGAGACATGAGTATCAGATTGCTATAATTGGGACTATTTAGTCATATTGAAAAAAAGAATATTGAACGTCGTATGATTACTCAGCGCTTCACAATTTAATTTAAAGTTATAAACCTTTAAAAAATGAATGATCAGGAACCTGAAATACGCGCGAATATTAATACTTTATAAAGCTTAAAGTATGAATTAAAATGATTAGAAATATTAGGAACGGTACACAATATAAAACTTAGTAACTTTTTTTAAGTTTATAATATTCGACATATTTTAAGATTGTATTAAAAAATTATTGAAATATCGAAAACACATAAAAACATGGCTTAAAAAAGTTCTAACAAATGAAAATGACAATAAAACATCCACGCATTTTATCGAAAGTTATAAAAGTTTTGTTACTTGTAATATGTTTTATCTGCCCCCTGGAATTAATGTTTAGAACCTTGTTCCCAAGGTTTGAAAAACATCCGATTGTTGTCTATTACTCGTATTTACCTGCTGGATTTTTTAATCCGGTGGGCAGTCCATCTAGAAAGGCCCTCTTGGATGAAGTTACAGAATCATCAACCCATACTTTACTTGTAGTGTGTCTTGCGTTTACCCACGTTTCATCAAGGTAATAAATCTTAATATTTGATTTCTATATTTCCCAATTTTTGTTAAATAATCCCTCCTCCATAGCACAATTTCTTCTCTATCCAGTAGTAACCTATTACGACCCCGTTTTTTCCATTTGAAATTTAAATGCTTCAGTAACGCATGGAAACTTGATCGTTTGAAATTTGGCAACGTTGTATCTCCATTTACCTCCTGCAGTACTTTATCTATAGTAGGTATTTCATTCCTAAAGAAGAATTCATGCACTTTCCTCCTAATCGCATGCTTATCAGCTTCATCCAATGATTTAACAATATTTTTGCGATGTTTACTGGTCATTGGCTCAGAAAAGGTGTGATTTTTTTGTATTGTCTTAACACATTAAACACTGATGCGCGACACACCCCAACTTTGTGAGAAACCTTCACAACAATTTCTTTGATGGTTGATGCCTCGTTCTCCTCGCGCTCGATCTTATATATATATATTCAAAATGACCTCTTTAATTTCTGCACTCAGGTGTCTTTTTTTAGAGCGTTTCCTAGGTGGACTACAGGAGTTTACAACTTCATCGGCAGTATCTGTACTACTGGGCATTTTGCGCAAGCAGTTGATAACAATAAGAATCAATAACAAGGTATAACAATAACAACGACAAAATGAACAACTTAATAAGATAACAAACGAAAACGTCCAAAGAAATATCAAATTGCAATGATGCACACGACATACGTAACACGTCTGAACCTGGATGTGACTCTGCCTTGATACGACTGCTCTGCCGCTCGGCATAGGCATTCAATTGCGAATTGACCAATGAGGGCTCCTGTTTTACGTCGAGACGGCGGCGTTAGCGTGAAAATCACCCGAACCTTTTGTTTACATCCGGTCTATCTCTTATCTGAATATACTGTACAATTGTAGGGACGACTGACGATACGGGCCTAAGTCATGCAGTTGATTCAACCATTTTTTTTATCGAAACAAAGAAACGTGACGAAAGTTGCCGGGGAGCATTGTGAGACCGCAGTTAGAAATATTTAAGAAATACGGTCTGGATTCTAAGCGTGTATGCGTATCTACAAAATATTGTATTTTCCAGGAAATGGTACGTTATTTGGCTCATCCTCCAACATTGTCTGCGCAGGTTTAGCAGAGCAACATGGCTACAGGTTTACTTTTATCCAATTTATGAAGTATGTATTTCTACTTACTACTACTGGCTTGGACATATTATAAACGCGAACATTTTCGAAAACGAGATGTTATATTTTTTATTTCTTATGTGACATGTATATCACGGAAAACTAAGTCACTCATTGCTGTAGGTCTGTTGAGCTATATGTCTGTCGGTCTGTCCGTCTGGCCGCTAATTCTTGAGCCGTCGATAACTTGGAAAGTACCGATCGGATTTTGATACAATTTTCACACAAGATTACTACTATGTCAAGGACGAAAATCAGTCGAGTGGCGGTGGAGAAAAAGGCCAAAACTCCTATTTTGACGTTCCAGAGGACCCTGATCATTTTAGAAAATATTTTGGAGTGGGGGTGTACGGGGGTGAGGAGAGTGTATCTCAACCTTTTGATGTTAGTGTATACGTTCCGGCCTTGGTAATTCTACGCACCTATTAGACTTATTACACACATCATAGATTAATCCGTACATTAGCCGTTGAAAGTTAATTTAAAACGGCAGGAAAATGTTTTCGACAAGCGTCCATGCATCCGCTGAATAATGCATGGGAGTGCAGAGTTAACCTACTTGACGTTATTTTTTTATAAAAGGAATACCAGACCGAGAGGAAAAACGAAATGAAGAAGTGGAGTTTTATACTAAGTGACATATAAATCCGAACACCCAGTTTAAATGGTTTTATTTTAATAAAATTTTGTATAAGTACTTAATGAAGCATAATAAGTAAATGATAAAAATTTCAAAATGATTGCACTGCTTTAAAGCCCTTTGACCTTTAATAATGTGTGGATGCACCCTGATGTGCTACGCATTCTCCAACGCGCCTAGGCATGCTTCTGATCAGGTGGTCAATGTCCTCCTGTGGTATCTCATTCCAGGCAACCACCAACTCCTCTCGAAGTGCTTCTAGAGTCTGAGGAGGACGCTGCAAATTGAGCAATTTCCTACTCATCATATCCCACACGTGCTCAATTGGGGATAAGTCGGGAGATCTTGATGGCCATGGTAACAATGTGACATCATTATGTTGAAAGAAGTCTATTGTGACTCTTGCAACATGTGGTCGGGCATTATCTTGTTGGAAAGTTGGATCTGCCAGGATGTCAAGATAGGGTAAAAGATGGGGTTCTAGAACTTCGTGGATATAACGCTGCGCGTTCATGTTACCTCTGATGAAGATTAAAAGTGACCTGGAACCATAAGCTATAGCACCCCAAACCATAAATTCAACAGTGTGATGAACATGTCTTTCAACAAAAAACTGTGGATTCCTCCTTTCACCACGTCGCCTGCTAACCCTGGCACGACCATCGTGCATGCCTAAACAAAATCGAGACTCGTCACTAAAGACAATACTGTTCCATTCCTGATCCCAGAGTGACCGTTGTCTGCACCACTCAAGGCGATTACGTCGGTGTTCTCGAGTTAAAGGGAGGACCCACTGTGACCGGTATGAAAACAAGCCAAAGCTTCTCATTCGTCGGTAAACACTTCGCATGCCAATAGGTCTTCCGTGTTCTGCAAACCATTCATTTGCAATGGACCTGGTAGTGGAGAAACGGTCCCTTAAGGCCAATAATCTTAGGCGGCGATCTTCGCGGTCTGTTATTCTACGGCGGCGTCCAGTGCCCCTTGCTCTTTGCGTACGGCCTTCTCGAAGCCATGCCTGACAACACCTAACCACAGTGTCTACACTTCTTTGCACTCTAACTGCAATTGCCCGAAAAGAAAGTCCAGCTTCCCGAAGTCCCACTATACGGCCCCTATCAAACTCACTAAGTTGACGAAATCGTACAGGTCTCCGTACTCTAGGCATCGTAACCGATCGTAAAGGATGTCAAGAACCAAAATCCGCCAACGTTGATTCTTTACTGCGGCTGAAATATTCATTTTTAGAGCGTTAGTGAATTAAAAAAAGCAGTATAAATACCGGAATGTCCAACTGATAAGGCTGAAAATTTTTTCACTTGTTATTTACAGTAAGATAAATACATTCACCAACTTTTATTAAAATAAAACCATTTAAACTGGGTGTTCGGATTTATATGTCACTTAGTATATTTAGGTGTACTCATATCTAAGATGTTCAGGCTTGAAGGAAAAAGTATTTATAATTTTCTTCAAATAATTTTTTCAAAGGATTCGGTGAAAAGATACGACGTGCGTTAGCATCCGACCCGGGCGCCACTCACGGTGAAGGCAAATCAAGTTGTTTATTCATTCAAACAAAACTGAAAGGAGCGAATTCATAATGCGTTTTCCTGGATGTTTAAAATAAATATATTGGAAGATAGGACGTTTGGGTTTCCAAATAATAATCAGGTTTTACAAAAGGGAAAATGTTGATGAAAGTATATACTAAAATATTTAAATGTACAAATTGCATGAATGTAATCAACTTAGAATTTGAGTTATTTTCCCAACTTTTAAAATGTACATAATTTGGAGAAAGAGAGAAAAATAACCCTGCTTTGAGGACGTGTAACAGATACTATGACGTCATTTATCTAGCCTTCCATTCTTACAGCGGTTGCTGCAAGAGTTTTCACTTTTTTCTAAAAATAAATGTTTTAAAGTCCTAAATTCATTAAACGAATTATTTAACTTTCGTAAGTTAATGTTTTGATATAATACGAGGGATGTCTTTTAAGTTTTGCATATAGAAACATAGTAGGCCGCGCGGATCGAAGGCCAGTTCTGAATGTTAACCTCACTCTTTAGTAAACCTAAATTCAATGTTTCATAACACTACGTGCAGTGGTCTCAATACTGTGAATTTGTGTCACCAAGTCATTAGAAAAATGGACCTCAACCGAGAACATTTTCGCGCCATGATTTATTAAAACTTTCAGAGACAATTATCGCCTTGCTGAGTTACTGTCTGTTTTCGGCAACAAAGCGCCAGATCAGTCGACAATTTCCCGTTGGTGTGGAGAATTCAAACGTGGACGCAGGAAAACGTCGATGCTGTGCGCAAACTCATCATTGAAGATAGAAATGTGACATATCGTGAGATTGAGGCGTCCTTGAAGATCACAAACACCTCAATTCAAAAAATTTTACATGAAGAATTAGGGGTAAGAAAATTAGTTTCTCGTTGGATACCCCACCTGTTGACTGACGAGCAGACAGAAGCCAGGGTTAATTGGTGTCAAAAAACGCTTAACCGTTTCAATTCCGGAAACTCAAAAAATGTGTAGGGGAGACCGTGGCGGAATGGGGACCGTAACATTCAATTTCAAGTTTGGGTGGGTAAATGATGTTACAGAAATTTAAAAAGGTACATAATGATCTATTGAGGTATCATAAACATGAAAACACAAGCAAATATGAAAATAAGGCTAACAGTTTTTTAATGTCATCAACTTAAACAATAAGTGTCTTTTACTCCATTCTGCCCCGTCGGCGAGTTTACAAATGTCACAAATCAGTTCTGATTCGTCGTCGTCACTATCTATTCCCGCACAAGAGTAATGAGCCCACTTTTTACACTGAATGCAAGAAATCCAACCTTCAGTTGATGTTGAATATTGGTCGTTACAGAATAAACATAATGTGTCTTCTCCTTCTTCCTCCTCGGAGCTTACTTTAGCTTCTATTATCTTTTGCTTTTTTGGTCGAGACATCTTTTCTGTTTCCCTCTTCCGCTTCTGACCTGAAACATTTTTTTTCACTTTGTTTTTCTTTGATTTTTCTAATGCCTCAGTCAACTCTGCTTTATACGGTGACTCTGTAATAATAGTGGTTTTGCCTCTCTTTCTCTGCACTCGCTTGACGGTTGTCGTTAGTTTTGGTACTGGCATAAAAGCTTCCGGAGAAACGGCTGTATAACTAGAGGTGATCACTTTTTTTATTGGTGCAATAGGAGTGTCAGACATCCAGGGTAAAGAGCCATTTTGAGTTTCGTTGCTAGTTTCCTGTAGTTCTCTGGGAGGTGGGGTTGAGGGATCATTGAAGGAATTATTTTCTGGAAAATCATCGACTTGAGTTACTTGAGTAGGGGCAATTTCTGTCTCAGCAATGGGAATATTAGTTGTCTCGGCTGGTAAAAAGTCATCGTCAGTGAAAATTCCCTCGTTTGTTGGCCAAATACCAGTTTTTTCAAAACCTTTTAGCGCGGTTTTCATATTAGCGGCGTTAATAAAAGCTTGTCCAAACAAGGTTGAAATTTGAAATAAAGTAACAACCTTGCCTGGGTTTGACCGCAACCATCTTCGCACTTCATCTTCGTAGTATGGACTTAAAGGTATCATAAATGCCACATCTAGAGGCTGGAGCCTGTGCGAACAGTGCGGTGGGAAACATAATAAAATAACGCCATTATCTCGAGCCAGATCTATTACATCGATGTTTTTCGTATGAGATGCATGTCCATCAAATGGTAAGAGCACGGGAGTTTCTTTTTTTGCACCAGAAAATTTAATAAACTTCTTGAACCATTCGAAAAACACTTCCATAGTCATCCATCCAGAGTCATTTGCCGCAATCCAAGCTCCAGGTGGCAAGCCCAATTCAAATTCTTGTCTCTTCTTTTGTCGCGGGAAAATCAACAGGGGGGGGGGGCATGACATTTCCCGCAGCAGAGCAACAAATTTATGCCGTTACTGTATTGCCACGCTCAGCAGAAGTCAATACGCCTACCTGACGTTGTTCTCTATTTGCAATAATCCTTGAATGCTGCTTTGGAATCACTGTAATGCCAGTCTCATCGCAATTGTAAATTCTTTCACAGGTAATTTTTTTCTCAATAATAACTTTATTTAATAATGTTAAGAACTGCGCGACTGCTACTCGGCTAAATCTCATGGCATGTGCTCCAGAAGTGGCCTCAGGCTTCCTGAAACTTAACTCTGAATGACGCCTCATAAATGAGTGGGACCAGTCTTCTCCCGCCATTTCTGTATCTTTGTTAAATGGATGCTCACAAGCATTCCTAACCGCTAATTGATAGGCTAGCTTTCCGAGTTCTTTTAATGTTAAACCAAACAATCTCTTTTGCATATCCTTTAAATATACAACTAGTTCTACCTCTTGGTCTTGAGTAAAAACACAGTGATATTTGACAGCGGTTTTATCAATCACAGAATTTGGGTCAGTCCTACGCTTTTTCACGTATCTTTCCAATGTAGCTTGTGGAAGCTGAAATTGAATTGAAGCTTTCTTGCAACCCATTACGCCACTTACTACTGCAGCTACAGCTCGTTCCATAGTTTCAGAACTCCACCGTTGCCGATCGATCTTTCTAATATAATTGCGAACCATCTGAAAGCAACACAAGGCATCAAAATGAGATCGTTGATAATAAGGGGCAGAATGGGGTCCCAACCCGTTCTGCCCCACACCGTTCTGCCCCACAAGCTACTCATAACAAAACATAACCTTTGCATAGAAACGCTTTATTAATATTTTGTCGTGAATATGCCAAAAGATACTTGCACACATGCCGTGTACAGTTAAATGAACAAAAAACGCCAAAACAAATAATTAAATAACTTAATTGTATTAAAAATCCCGAAAAGTTATATCCACATGCACAAATTCATTACGTTTGGCCGAAAACACTTTGAACTGTTTGCTGTAATCTGTTCATTGTTGCCGACCGATGCGTGGCGTTCTACTAAACGATAACAGAGAGCGCTAGTAATATCTAGCCTTTACATTGAGAAATATGGTATGCAAACCGTTCTGCCCCGGTACCCTGCTCCGCCCCGGTGTCCCCTACAGCATTATTAGTGGTGACGAATCGTGGATTTACTATTATGAACCAGAAAATAAACGACAGTCTGCTGTTTGGGTGTTCCAAGATGAAGAAAAGCCAACAAAAGTCATCCGTTCTCGAAGTGTTTCGAAAAAGATGGTCGCGACATTTGTGTCAAAAGCGGGTCATATTGCAACAATTCCTCTTAATGAGCAAAGAACTGTTACTGCGGATTGGTATACCGCCATTTGTTTGAAAAAAGTCATCACCGAGCTTCGAAAAATCAACCCCGAAAGAAGAATCAAGAATCAAAAAACAAGGCAGTATTTAACGGGAAAAAACGTGGAATTATTGGACCCCCGATCTAAGTCCTGACGATTTCTTTACTTTCCCGAAAATTAAAAACAGAAGAAGTAGTTAACGCATTCAAAAACGCCCTTTTGGATCTGCCGGCAAACGAGTGGAATAAGTGCTTCGAAAATTGGTTCGAGCGCATGCAGATGAGTATTAATCCTCGTGGAGAATACTTTGTAAAACAATATAGTCATTTAAAACTACCTACCGTGTTGTTTTATTTCCATATGCAAAACTTAAAGGACATCCCTCGTACTGTACCTGGTACTTTACAAATGATCAATAGTTCATACATATTTATTGTCTATTACACTTAATTGGTAGTACACTTTATCATCTAAATTATAGCTAATTTTTGTTTTCTCTCTCGTTTTAGAGTCGGATTACCTGCAATGATTTCGAGCACAATCGTGGTTACAATGTATTTAATATTTTGCCATGTGATCATGGACTGGCATTAGTATATAGTAATATATAATTATTTGTTATTTAATAAACGTTTCCTCTCGTTAATTGGTTATGGTTCGTCCGATTAGCCTCATCTGTGTCCCACTGAAGGTAACTATCATTTGAAAACAAACGAAGATTTTTATCAATTTCAGAATTCGTATCCACTCTTAGGTAATTTGGGGCGATAAATGCGAAAATTGATGTAAAGCATATTCTGCCTGGGACGCCCAATAAGTCCTAGCTGCACATGGCTGTGTAACAAACCTGGAATCAGAAACAGTAAAAGTGTTCAAGGTATTTTAAGAAAATGCCTCAATTAGCGTAAATCATGTACCAAACAGTTTTTGAAAGATTATTTTAGTTTTCATAAATAATCAATTATTGGGTGATTTTTTTGCTAGTATCTTTTTGGAAACACTGTTTTTCACAGATGACGCATGAATCGTGTCTTGTGTCATTGTCAAACTTGTTCAGTTTGGTCTATAATTTAACCATGAATCGACTTACGAACGAACAACGCTTGCAAATTATTGAATTTTACTATCAAAATTCATGCTTGGTTAAGAGAGTGCATCGAGCACTGCTTCCAATTTATGGGCAATTTGGTCGGCCTACTGAGGGAGCTATTCGGAAGCTTGTGACTAAATTTCGAACCCAGTTTACATTATTGGACATTAAACCATCAACACGCAGACGTAGAGTGAGGACTGAAGAAAATATTGCGGCTGTATCCGCCAGTGTTAGTGATGACCGTGAAACGTCGATTCGCCGCCGTTCGCAGCAATTGGGCCTCTGTTATTCCACTACGTGGAAAATTTTGCGACAGGATTTGGGTGTAAAACCTTATAATATACAGCTGGTGCAAGAATTGAAGTTACACGACCTCCCACAACGTTTCCAATTTGGTGAATGGGCGCTGGCAAAGTTGGAGGAAGATCCACATTTTTATCGAAAAATTGTGTTCAGCGACGAAGCTCATTTCTGGTTGAATGAGTACGTTAACAAGCAAAATTGCCGCATCTGGAGTGAAGACCAGCCAGAAGCATTGCAAGAGCCACCAATGCATCCCGAAAAAATCACTGTTTGTTGTGGATTATGGGCCGGTGGCATCATCGGGCCGTACTTCTTCAAAGACGACAATGGCCGGAACGTAACTGTGAATGGCGAGCGCTACCGTACGATGATAACAAACTTTTTTTTGCCCAAAATGGAAGAGCTGGACTTGGCTAACATGTGGTTTCAACAAGACGGTGCCACATGCCACACCGCACACGAAACAATGGCCCTATTGAGAGGCGAGTTCGGTGAACCGTTTATCTCACGTTTGGGGCCCGTCAATTGGCCGCCTAGATCGTGTGATTTAACGCCGTGGGACCATTTCTTGTGGGGCCATGTTAAGGCTAATGTCTACAGGGATAAACCAGCAACGATTGGCGCACTGGAAGCCAATATTGAAGCATTTATTCGTGAGATACCGGCCGATATGTTGGAGAGAGTGTGCAAAAATTGGACCTTGCGCATGGGCCATCTAAAGCGGAGCCGCGGCCAACATTTACATGACATAATCTTTAAACATTAAATTATATCGACCGTTCTATCGACTCAAATAAAGATTTAATCGTTTTTTCAATTTTTTTGTGTTTTTTTTTGAAAATCAAATAATAATAATAATAATATTTATTTACTCTAAAATACAGGGAACATGAAACGAGTAAATAAATATAATATATCCATTAGAGGACAACGCCTGTGCATGGATCATATGTATGTTGAATTGCAAAATATAATAAAATAGAGAGAAAAAAGAAATTATTGGTAAGAATGGTAGAGCATTTATTGTGTAATATTTGAGATTATTTTATTAATTTGATTTCTCCCAATCGTGTTAATAAATTTTTTTAATTTTTTTTGAAGCCTAATGTATTGCGTAATTGTTTTAAATTATTTGGTAAATGTTCGTACAATTTTGGAGCTATATACAGGTGACATCGTTTCATTAGGGATTTGTTTGGTTTAGGAACATTTTTTGCGCGTAATTTATATCTGGTTTTATGATTATGTTTAATTATGTCGTGTTCACGAATAGTTTTGTGATTTTGATTTGCCTAACATTGATTTTAAAATTCTTCTTTGAAGTACATCTAAATCGTTAAAGTATGTCGTGCATGCAGCACCCCACACTACTATACCATATGTGATGTGTGGCTCGATTAAAGCTTGATATATTATTCGTAGATAATATTCAGTCAATATACCGGTTAGAAATTTTATTTTATATGCTATGAACCTAATTTTCTTTAGTATGTGAGAAATATGTACATCCCATCTCAAGTGGGGATCTAGATAAATTCCTAAATATTTTGTATCATTAACTCTATTGATTTTTATATTTTTATCATTTACCTTAAACCGAAGGTGGTTATATTTTGGTAGATGATTAGATAGTGATGAAAATGGTAAAAAATGAGTTTTAGTAAAGTTAATTGTTAATTTTCGGTTATTAAACCACTGAATAATTTTGCAAAAGTCATTTTGGATAATATCTTTTAAGTCGTTCCAATCCTTACCTTTATAGAGTATAGCAGTATCGTCTGCAAAACTGACTATTTTACCAGTACTGTTAATTTTGAATATATCGTTTAAATAAATATTGAATAACAGAGGACCCAAAATTGTACCTTGTGGAACACCACATTTAGCAAACATTTCTTTACTATACGAGCTTAATAATTTTACTGATTGCGGTCTATTTGATAAATAATTTTCCATTAAAGTATACATCTTTCCACGAAAACCTATTCTTTCTAAGATTTCCAAAAGTATATTGTGGTTAACTGTGTCAAACGCTTTTTGTAAGTCCACAAATACGCATATCGATGGTACTTTTCCATCTATATTTTGGATTATTTCATCTACTATACTTAATACCCCATCTGTTGTAGATTTGCCCGCTATAAAACCATATTGATTTGAATTTAGAATTTTGAATTTATTAAGAAAATTAATCATTTTATTAAGGAGTAATTTCTCAAAAACTTTAGCTAAACTTGATATAAGTGAAATAGGTCGATAGTTAGTGACGTCCGTATTATCATTAGATTTATAGATAGGTATGATGATTGCTGTCTTGAAAGCTGATGGAAATACTCCAGATTGGAAGGATTTGTTAATGATATAAGCAAGTGGTTCTGTTATTTGTTTGGCCAGTATCTTTAGATGTTCAGCTCTAATTTCGTCAACTCCAGGGCTTTTTTTATTTTTTAGAGTCATAATGGCATTGAAAACATCCTGATAGTCTACTTCAGTTAATACAAATGAATTATTCAGTCTTGTTTCATGCAGATGAATATCATCATTTTGTTTGATATTATTTGCTAAGTTTCCTCCTATATTCGTGAAAAATTCTATGAACTCATCACATATTTGCTGAATATTGTCTGCTTTCTGTCCTGTTTTTGTTTTTATTTCATTAATATTGTTTTTTGAATAGGATGACTTATTGAATATATCATTGACAGTGGACCATAGGTGTCTAGAGTCATGTGAATTATTATTCAATTGTTTTATATAGTAATTTTTTTTTGCTTTTCTCAAAAGTTCTATAAATTTGTTTTTATACTGATTATAATGATCTATATTTTCTTTCGTGGGTAAATATTTCATGATTTTATACAGTCTTTCTTTTTCGTTTGCAGATTTTATTAGTCCTTTGGTCATCCAATCATTTCTGCTTTTTTCCTTGTGACTTATTTTAACCTTATTAGTACTAACTTCAATTACTTTTTGAATTTTGTGTATTAATAAATTTGTAGCTTCGTCTAAAGAATTTGTTAAAAAAATTTAGTCCCACGATTCCGTTTGTGCGTTAAATATTAATTTTGAGTTGTCAGTGAAATATTTGTATTCAAGGTTTCTTTCATTGTTTGCCCTTGGGCAGTTCTGGTTTTTATTTTGTGAAGATATCAATAATACAGTGGAATAATGATCTGTAATATCGGTTTCATAGATAATAGGCATGTAAGAAAAAATATTGGAAATATCCTTTATAAAGCAGTGATCAATGCAGGTTTTACTGGTGGGTCGTGTTACTTTATTTATGTATGATAAAAAACCATTACTTGATAAAATGTTTAAATATTCTTTCACCATAGAATTTTCCACATTTAACAAACATTTCTTTACTATACGAGCTTAATAATTTTACTGATTGCGGTCTATTTGATAAATAATTTTCCATTAAAGTATACATCTTTCCACGAAAACCTATTCTTTCTAAGATTTCCAAAAGTATATTGTGGTTAACTGTGTCAAACGCTTTTTGTAAGTCCACAAATACGCATATCGATGGTACTTTTCCATCTATATTTTGGGTTATTTCATCTACTATACTTAATACCCCATCTGTTGTAGATTTGCCCGCTATAAAACCATATTGATTTGAATTTAGAATTTTGAATTTATTAAGAAAATTCATTTTATTAAGGAGTAATTTCTCAAAAACTTTAGCTAAACTTGATATAAGTGAAATAGGTCGATAGTTAGTGACGTCCGTATTATTATTAGATTTATAGATAGGTATGATGATTGCTGTCTTGAAAGCTGATGGAAATACTCCAGATTGGAAGGATTTGTTAATGATATAAGCAAGTGGTTCTGTTATTTGTTTGGCCAGTATCTTTAGATGTTCAGCTACATATATATATATCCTATACCTCTTAAAAAATCACCCGTTATAATACTCATAACTAGCTACCTTCATTGCCAGTGTTTTTTAAAGGACATAGTAGTAGTAGTGTTATTCTTTATCTTCTAGCGAAAAGTAGGTTTACTAATAACAATTAACTCATTGCGATAAAAATTATTTATCTGACTGTTGCCATCGGTCGTCACACTATATTAGTTTGCAAACAATGCAGCATTTGAACAAACTGGAAAATTAAGCAGGTACTCATGAAAAATTCCCAAAGATCAAACAAATATTTATGAGGCATGTACAATGTCAACTTGTCTCTTGGGATTGTTTGTAGTGATTATATTGCATTTAAATCTAACGGATTGTGTAA